GAGCAAAATCATAGGCATTGATAACATAACATTTTTCTATTATTGTATGATTTATTAAGAATAGTGATTCATCATCATAGAATGATTTTATTTATCTATCGAATAAATTAATTGTAAAGAAATAAAGTTCTAATCATGAATGAATTGATACGAAAAATATGCACATATAGTTTTGTTTGTAAAGATGAGCAATTTATTACAGAAAAAAGTAGCGAGTGAGGTTAGTTGATCTTATTTTTCTTTGGTTGATGTCAACTTTATATTGAATGGCAAAAAAAAAACATTTATGTTTGATACTATAGCATTTTGTTCTGTAGATACTCAACAAGATCCATTACTATGATATGGAATCAAGACATTGTTCCATGAAATGTACGATTTTTTAAAAGGTCATTAATTATATGTTGATGCTCTTTATTGAATAATCTGATAATAGTTGCATATGTTTTATAATATCAATAGACAAGTAAAATTTGTCCATTAATTTAGGACAGATATTCTATTCATTTTCAGGTTATTGGATTATTAATAGAGTTTGTAAGAAATTCTTTTCATATTCTACATTTTCAAGAAAGGAAAAGGTTTATGTGAATATGAAATTTTTATGAATTCTTGAGATAAAATTTGAAAACGATTAACTAAAAACTCGAACGAAATTAGTTATACTACTCTGCATGCTATTCTTATTATTATACAGATATATAGAATTTGAAACTACAGTATTTAAGATTGAAAATCTAAAAGATAGATTTAGTTATTCTATTCCTGAAGTGGAATTATGTATTTTATTATTATTGTCATCAACATATGGTGACTAACAATTGTTATGCTATAGCACATAGTCCATTGAAATAATTATACATTCGTGTACCGTTGAACATAGCTTCACCCGATGTACATACCAGAGATGTCCACAGGGCGCTTTTCCCGGTCCTGCCCTGCCCTGACGCCCTGCCCTGTTCTGCCCTGCCCTGAAAAAAGAAAGTATGTCAAAAAAATTTGTGCCCTGCCCTGCAGGGCAGGGCAGGGCGCAGGGCATAGTGAATATTTTAATTCAATA